ACTGCTCATTTTTGGGTGAAGTATCCCTTTAAGCACTGATGCTTGATTCATTCTCTCAGGATCGGTATACTCATTCTGTCACATTCCATGCTCAGGTCTATTTATAACTAGTTTTAGATTCAACCAGGGTTCATGTTTTAGCTTAACCATTAATCTCACAGTATCACTTGTCGATTATGGTCTCAAAGCTATCTGGATTACAATAGTGTTGGGTTATTTATATCATTCATTTTTGGAACGGATAATAAAACCTAAAGGTGGTCATTTCAGCATTTATTTTTTATTTATATAATATTATTATTAATATTATATTGTATGTATTTAGATCACTGTTGTGTGGCAACTTATGTACTGTTAACATTTTCAAATATTCTGTGATCAGCTATTGGTGGACTCGACTAAAAAAATGATTTCAATTGATCATTGGTGTAAAACACCAGCGTTTTGAACATGTCCACCGGACTGATGTTTGGCTGGCACAGCTTTCCCCTCCTCTCCTCCAGAGAAGTCTGTGCGCTCTAAAAAAAGACTGTTGTTTTAACCCAAATTTGGGTCAAATATGGACAATCTCGAATGCTGGGTTAAAAATGTAATTTAAACATTTAACCCAATGGGTGAGTTTGTCTATATTTGTCCCGAAGAGCATTTTTTTTTTTTAGTGTGGTTGGATTCGGGGTTTTCAGAGGGCATTGGATATCAAACAATGTAACTGTATGCCTTAATGTTTGTGGGTCTTGAATAGAACTAATGTGCTTTTAGCTTGGTTAGTCTTCATAGTGTTTTAACATTATAAATGTATTAAATGTTAGGCTTTTGAATGTACGACCCTTTCTTGTTAGCGATGGAATTTGAATTTTAGCGTGATGTCATACTGAAAAAAATAGCACCTTTGATATTTACCCATTTCTGTGCTTTTCCCCGTGAAATATGTTTTTTTTTTTCTTGAATCCGTTTAACTTTGTTTTAAAGAAAATGTCTTGTTGTTTGAAATGAGTTAGTCATTTGGTTTATGTAATCGGATATCCTTTTAAGCAAATTCCTTTTAAAATTGCTGGACATTGGTACATAATGTTTTGCTCCCTATACATTTTGTTCTTATTTATTAACATTTTCGTCTTTTTTTAGTTGACCGCAGTGCTTCTTAAGAAGGCATTCTGTCAATTGTAATACTCACAATTGTATCTGATTTCACCTTGTGTCACTGCAGACTTTTATTTTTATTTTATTTTACTTTTTATTTTATTTTGGTTTCTTTTTATTGCATTGTATTTGATTTGTATTATATTTGACCAAGTTTAAGTTTGTGTTATTATGTTCTCCAATTCTGACTCGAGTAATTTATAATGTACCCAATACTTTGAATTTTAAAATCATTAAGCTGGAAAATTATGATTAAATCACAATAATATAATATGCTAAATCATCAACAATGAATACATATTCTAATCAATGTGCACAATGTTTTCATTCAGTTTAGCTGCTGCACAGACACTGTCTATGGAAATGATTACCATTATAATATGACTCTTGTCAGCAGCTTCATTATTATATTTTATTAATGGATAATCAAGTGTGATATCACTTTAGCCTGCATCACTTGTATATGGTTCATTCTAATTATTTTCTGAATGATTTTTGATGTATCTCCATTTTATAATCATAATATGTATATCTTATAATTTTTTATAATATGTCGCTCTTTGTTTTATGGATTTATGTTATCGTTTTAAAAAGTAATTATTTTAGCCATTTTATTAGCTGTGCACATTGATTAGAAGTGGGAAGTTTTGGTCAGGGTTTTCTTTTTTTATTTCTTTTTTTTTTTTTCATTGGTTAGAGAGTGATGTTCTTTTCTTGTTTTTGTAAGCACCCAATCTGTGGTGTAAATTAATAATTTTAGCCGTTTATGTTGTCAGCTTTGTCATTTAGAGTGCATGGGGATGGAAAAATGTGTACATGGAAATATTTGTAACTTTTTCTCTTTATCAACGCTTTGATTTGTTTAACTGTATGTATTTCTACTGCTAAATCATTCTGCATTCTTCTGCTTTTAGCATCTGTTTGTTTTTTGAGTGATGAAACCACATGTGAACGTACTGTAGAGCATGTGCACGTGACATGTTTAATTTTGTTTTAAAAAAAGTCTTGTCTGGTTATCTAGTCATGATTAGTCCAGCAATGATGGTTTATCATACAATTGTAGAATGTATCTCCTTTTATTATGAAATACTGAAATTCAGTTTAAAATGAATCTTTTAAGCTATGTTCCTCTGTTAAAACGGCACGTTCTTAAATGTCTTGTTGCTAAATTCATTCGTTGAGCTACTCTTGTCTGTAAAGTGCAAAGAGATGTATGATTTTGCAAGAACCAAATTGAAATGAGTGTTGGTCATTGTGCCCTTATAGAACCATATTAGTTTTTTTGTTTTGTTTTGTTTTTTTTTGAAAAAGGGTTGAATGAGATATGGTAGTATTTTGTATCTTTTTTTTTCCTTTTTCTTTTTTTCTGGACTGGTTTTGCTGCTATAATGTTTGTCTTAGGCTCTGGCTCCTTTACAAGTTTTATTAAACTGGCCCACCTAAAGATTCCAATTTGCTGCCATTGAGAGAAAAAAAAGCTGCTTTTGCATTTGTTTTATATCTGTATCTGCCTGACGTTTTCATATTTTTGTAAAATAAATATTCCAGTGTGTAAAACTGGGCTGTAAAATTGACTTCTGTGGTGTGACAGAACAAAATGCTTCACTAAATCTCCCACAATTCCTTGTTTTATTATTTGACTTCAGCTTTGTGAGAGGTCGTTTGATAAATCGCCACCTGGACAAGTCTATTACTAACCTTAAAGGGATAGTTCACCCAAAAATGAACATTTTGTTATTGTGCACTCAGTCTCAAGTTGTTCCGAACCTGGATGAGTTTCTTTCTTCTGTTGAACACAGACTATATTTTGAAGAATATGGGTAGCCAAAACAGTTGATGGACTCCATTGACTTCCGTAGTATTTTTTTTCCTACTATAGAAGTCAATGGTACGGAAGCCCTAAACCGCAAGGTAAAAAAACCAAAAACAAACGTATCTTGTTATTTCGACTTGAGTTGTTATAATGACATATCTCTTTATAACGACATATCTCATTATAACGACATAATATCTTGTTATAATGACTTAAGTTGTTATTTCGACACAACAACATATCTCGTCATAACTTAAGTCGTTCTTTCGACCTAAATTCTCGTTATAAGACATACTGTATCTCGTTATTATAACAACATATCTCACTATAATGACATATCTTGTTATAACGACTTAAGTCATTATTTTGACATAATTTCTCGTTATAACGACATATCTCTTTAATTATAACAACATAATATCTCGTTATAACGATATATCTCGTTATAATGACTGTTGTTATACACTGTTGTTATATCTGAAGTTGTTATTTCAACATAATTTCTCGTTATTATGACATAACTCGTTATTTCGACTTAAGCCGCTATAACGACATACTATCTCGTTATTACGACATAATATCTCGCTAAAGCGACAAATCTCGTTATGACTGTTGTTACACTGTTGTTGTTATATCTGAAGTTGTTATTTCAACATAATTGAAGTCGTTATTATGACATAATATCTCGTTATTTCAACTTAAGTCATTATAACGACATATCTCGTGGTCACGATTTAATAACCATGGATCGAAATATTATATTGTACCAGCATCCTTCAAAATATCTTCTTTTGTGTTCAACAGAACGAAACTCACACAGGTTTGGAACTTAAGGGCGAGTAAATGATGAAAAATTTTTATATTTTGAGTGAACTAACCCAACAAACTCCAACAATCGGTAGCAACAAAGTGAATATATAGTCATTAGTAATTGTAAGAATAGTTTATCCAATGGGAAGAATATACAACAGACGTTCTGTTTAGGGACAGCATGTTCCCTTTTGTGTTGTAATTTCTGTCAAGTCTTGAGTAGATTTCCTTTTGTGGTTTAATACTTTTTTGCAAACTTAGGGTCTCTCTAAGGGCTTTTATGAAAGCAGGACTAAGATCAACCGTCTGAGAAGTCTTTGTTTGGGTTATGAAACTGAATCTTAGCAGAATAGATACCTCAGTGCAATTGTGACATTGCTTTCAATAGTTTTATGAAAAATGTGACTTATTTTCAGACAAAAATGTAGCTACCATTTTATGACATGCACTGCTGTTCGAAAGGGGTTTAGGTCTGCATTCATTTGATAAATACAGCAATATTGTGAAATATTATTGCAATTGAAAAATAACTGTTTACTATTTGAATGTGTTTTAAAATGTATTTTTTTTCCTGTGATCAAAGCTGAATTTTCAGCATCATTACTCCAGTCTTCAGTGTCACATGATCTTTCAGAAGTCATTTGATGATCAAGAAACATTTCCTATTATGTTGTACAGTTATTTTTTTTCAGGATTTTCAGATGATTAGAAAGTTCAAAAGAACCTGATTTAGGCTTTTTGAAATAAAACAATAAAAGTCTTTGTCACCATATGATATTAGTTTTTATAATAATTATTATGATAATTATTATATACATAATATTATACATAATAATTATAATGTATTTTTTATGACTTTTCTCATTAATCCTAGCATATCAGATCAAATGTTGTTTAAAAAAAAATATCTCATTCCATTAGAAAATATCTCTTTAAACCAACATATGATATACTGTTTTTTTTATTTATTTATTTGTTTTTTTTACCAGATCACGTCATTTTTTTGCTAGAAAATATGTAGTTTTACCATACAAACACACGTCAGAGAGAGGGGAAGTTATTTTATTGAAAAATTACGATCATGAAAAAAATAAAATAAAACAATGATATGCACAGATAAATCATTACTATAAATACTGCAATATTGCATACAAACATCAATTATCAATTTGGATTTCATGGTAACTTTAATGACCAAATAAGTGCATAAGGCGCCCTCTCGTGTACATGTTGCTGAACAACCGCTACTTGCCAATTATTCAGAATAATCCTCTCTGCACACTGAGAACCACCGACAGGACCAGAGACATGTAAACAAGGCGAATTTCATAGATTTGGGCCTTTAGACTTCAGGCAAAATCTGCAGAAATGGGCAAGCGAGATAACAGAGTGGTGAGTAAAGGTAGTTTACGGACTTGCTATTCCAAGTACAATAATCAAGAGGCCTTTAAGCCGCAATGCTAACGCTTCAAAACACTTAACGTTAGTCAAACATATTAGCCTCGTCCACTCTTAGAATAAATGAGAATGCCCTTTAGACAGTTGATATATTTTCTGTTATGTTTGCAGTCTGATACTCTTACAAATTGTGGCTATTGCTTAGATAGAAGGCTAGTATGGTTAAGGTATGTGGCTCAGACATGCTAACTCAGCTAGCACATATTCCACTTAAATGTCCCTTTACAAGTCATAGACAGTTTGCTGCTTTCTTTCGGTTTAGCATGTGAAAAGTATTGCATTCGTAGTTTAAATTGATGAAACGTAGTATGCAGTTATTTTAGCAGCCTGTGAGTGTGACGTGGATGCTGAAGGGTTTTTATCAAGTGTCTGTTTTGTGCTTTTTTTTTAAGGTTGTGCTGGCTGGATTATGAATGTTAAAATATGATTATGTTTCAGGCATACTTGAATCCAATAGCTGCTGCCAGAGCCAGAGGACCTGCACCCAACACCGGAACCACCATTCAGGATTATCTCAGCAGACCTCGGCCATCATGGTACTGGTCAAACCTGATGATGAATCAGTTGTGGATGTATGTGATTTTTTTGATGTCATATATGTCTGTTTGTCATGCATATCAGGGAGGAGGTAAAAGAACAGCTGGAAAAGAAGAAAAAAGGCTCAAGAGCCCTGGCAGATTTTGAGGACCGAATGAATGAGGTAGAGTAGAGATGTTTTGTTTCTGCATTTTATACGTCAGTGGATTTCCAAGAGACCGAGATCTAATTGTTTTGATCATATGCGCTCTCTCTCATTTTTCTCAGCGATGGAAGAAGGAACTGGAGAAGAACAGGGAGAAAGTACTTGGTGGAGGTGAAAAGAAAGAAAAGGAAAAGAAGGAGGTAAGAGTTGGTGTAGTAATCTGGGACCTCCTTTATAAAACGCAAGTACAGTCATATTGGATCCCAATTTCAGTGGATTTCATCCTACATCAAAAGTGAGAAGTAAAACTGTTTCTATGATGGCAGAAACCGTCATGACAACTGAACAGCGTCAAATGTTTTCAAAATAAATAGTACAACATAGATAATTTGTTAATTGACTTGTTCACATTGTGCTTGAATTGAAGAGGTCATGTGATTTAAAAAGAGGGATGAGTTAGGGTGCTTTTTTATTAAATCCTTCAGAGGAACATTTTGGAAAGTGTTTATTTGCTTTTTGGATCTTTCTATGCATGTCTTTACAAATGAGGTCCCTGGTTTGTTGTATTTAAAAAAGATTTCCAATGGTTATCTGATATATTTGTCTTTGTGATTTCCAGAAAAAGAAGAAGGAGAAGAAAAAGTCCAGTAGGGTGAGGAGAGCTCTCCATTTTCATATCTTGAGCAACTGTACACCAGTAATTAATCGATAAGTTGAAAAGTGGAAAACCGGTTTTAGTTTTAAATAATGTTTTATACTGGAAGAGGCATGTGCTTTTGTAGAGTATTCAGGATCAATCGGGTCTGTTATCCACAGGACACAGGGTCAGTTTTAAGTGACTTCAAATCTAATAAATTCTGCTTCTGTTGTATTTGGTCAAGCATTCTTCATCTTCCTCCTCCTCCTCATCGAGTTCTGATTCCTCCTCCAGTTCCCACTCAGACTCTGAAGATGATGTAAGCTGAGGTCTAATATGCTCGTTTATTTGCTTGCATTGTTAAATTGACCATGACTTATCCCTGAATATTCGTCTGTTTACTGCCTTTTCAGGATGATAAGAAAAATATGAAAAAGAAGAAAAAGAGAAAAAGATCCTGTGCCCGGAGAGCATCTGATGACTCAGACACGGAGTCCGAGACTGACAGCAGGGTATTGTTGGTTTATAACTGCAAGGAAAAACATTGTTTAAAAAGATTGTTTTTTTCAGTTATGGAAGTTTCTCCATTAAGGCCCTGATATACTTCAAGCAAAATTGAAGAACTAAGTGATGGGACGTTCATTTTTTTTTGGGACGCCAAAAAAAGTTTGTTTTCGGAGTTTGAAAAGGCTTGCTAGAGCAAACATTCCAGAAAAGTTCACTCTAGCTGGTAAATGCCTTCGAACTACCATTGGTCTGTGGCTCTGAGGCTTCTTTGGTTCATCACTACTTTCACAAGCAAAAACATGAACAGTAGAAAATGAAGTAAATCTAATAAAAAGTGACACTGACTGTAGTGTAAAGTTGCTTCATTTAAAGCAATCTTTTAAATAAAGGGCTATAAATAAACTTGTGCGGAGAGCTTTTGCAAACATCCACATCTCTATGATCAGATGCTTAACTTGTTTTCTCACCGCTGTCCTTTTTATTTTATGTTTACTTTGTTATTGAGAGGAACGCGCACAGCACATATTTCCATATTCATCTAAACATCGCTCTCAGCAGCATTGTGGGCGTCAGGATGCTCGCTAACAGTATACCGCTGCAAAGGTATTTCAAACTTCTTTTTACCTCTAAGCGAACAATAAAAAAAAAGAGCTTTGGCGTGAGTATATCGGGGCCTTAACTTTCCATAATGTATTGCGCATTATTCTAGATTGGCAGCTCTTGTAGAAATTGTTGCTGATTTGTCTTTATGAATATGAATTTCCACTGCTGAATTAAAATAAAAGCTAAATTGCTGATGATAATGAAGATATTTGTCAATAGGGCTGTCAAACGATTAATCGCGATTAATCGCATCCAAAATAAAAGTTTGTGTTTACATAATATATGTGGGTGCACTGTGTATAATTATTTTATATATAAATACACGCACATGCTTGTATATATTTAAGAAATATTTTCATGTATATACTGTATATAGATTTATATATAATTTATATTATATATAAATTTCAAAAAAATTTTTTTAATTTTCTTAAATATACATGCATTTGTGTGTGTGTATATATATATATATATATATATACACACACACACAAAATTATATATTATGTACAAAAAAAACAGCCCTATTTGTCAAGACTTGATTCCTGATGTCTTTTGTCTCTAGGAGTCATCCAAGAAAAAAAGGAAGAAAATTGATGGAGAGAAAGTCAAGGTACTGAAAACTTTAAAGTTTAATGATTTAAAGTGATATTTAAATTTCTATCTTGAATTACTCACACTCATGTCATTCCAAAACCGTAAGACTTTCGTTCATCTCCGGAACACAATTAAAGTTTTTTTTGATGGAATCTGACGCCCGCTTCACACATACTCCGTGTGCAGTGCGTGTGTGGTTCGTGTTGCGGTGTATATACTGTACAAGAGTAGCACGCGCTAAAGTGCTTTCACATATGCTGCGTTTGCAGTGCGTAACTGATCCGTGGCTATATACCACAAATGCATACTCACTATTTTTATTTCAAATTCAGAATTTATGCAGCAACTTTTTCTTTGTACACTTTTACAAACTTGAATGGTTGTATGCATGTTTAAACACAATATAAACAATGTAGGACTACTTAGTAGGAATATTTAACCATGTATTTATATTAAAATCACAAACATTTTAAATTGATATTGACAAAAAAGCTTGTTTTTCTCAAGCAACTTGTTTTTCTACTTTGAGACGAGTGTTGTTCATAATGTCCTTGTTGAGGTAAATTGTAGTTTATCTTGCTTAAAATCCCGGTCTTAAAGTAAAAAGATGTAAAGTAGTTTAATTTAATTAAATACATTTAATGTAGGAATCTCACCATGTAGATCTGCGAACATGTTACATCTCTGGTTTTGTATGCAAAAAGAATGATTGAGTTAGCCATTTGGTTTCAGTTTCTATAGGCTCTTAAACAGACACGCGCAAACCGGAGCGCCGGCGCTCCCATCGGGTTAAAAAGACCTTCATTTGTGATCTGAAGATGAACCAAAGTCTTAAGGGTTTGGAATGACATGAGGGTGCATACTTAATGACGTCATTTTCATTTTTGGGTGAATAACCACTTTAAAGACATTAAAGAAATAGATTTTTTTTTTAAAAACATAAAATTGCCCTCATTTAATTTCAAACACAAAAATAGATTTTTTGAAGTTTTTTTTTTTCAGATATTAGATTAGAATGATTTCTGAAGGATCATGTGACACTGAAGACTGGATTAATTATGCTAAAAATTCAGCTTTATCATAATAAATTACATTTTGAAATGTATTCAAATAGGAAACAGTTTAAATTGTTATATTTCTGTTTTTTTTACTGTATTGATAATCAAATAAAACTTCAACTTTTATAAAACTTATAGACCAAAAACTATAAGTATTGTTAGTATCATGAACAAAATGTTTTTGTTTGAAAGGATGAAAAGGATGCTCGAAGGAAGAGGAAAGCTGAAAGGAGTCAATCTGAGTCTTCAGACGAGTCTGATGTAGACAGAGACGTAAGAGTCTTTAAATCCTCTGTGACCTTAATATGTGTCATTACACTGTTTAAGCGCAGCAAATACCATGTGACATGCGAAACTCATCTGCAAATGTTTTTGTTTTTTTAGGCTGAGCCCAAAAAAAAGAAACACAGTAGTGAAGAAAAGGATAAAATTACAGTAAGTCCTCAGTGTAAAGCGGTTTATCCATGATATAAATTTGGCTTGTTTTAGCCCTTATGAGGGCAGAAACAACTGAACATGCTACCCGCATCACTCACAGAAATGTTATAAAGAGTGGATTCGCAAAACAGAACTCAAATTGAGCCCCTATTATGCTATTTTTAAAGTGCTGTATTTTACGATTTGGTCTTTTTTTGTTAGGTTCAAATGCATCTAAGGTCAATTTTTTTTACATTTTCTCATAATATACATTGCACATCACCTTATTTCTCAGATTTTGAAAACAGTTTATTTGATTCAATCTCTCTAAATCAGTCCTGTCTGAGAGACTACTCTTCTCTGATTGGTCAGACGGCCCACTCTGTTGTCGTTGGTTGACCGCTTACAGTGCATCTCGGAAATGAACCGCATAGCTCTGGAAGCTTCCTCAGCACTTGATAGTTGATACTCGGAGATACGAATAGTTATGATAGCGTTAGGGGTGTAACGATACCCTCATGTCACAAATCGATACATATCACGATACTGAACTCCCGATACGATATTATTGCGATACTCCAACACATATGATAAAAGATTAACAAAAAAATGTACTGTTGCTTAAAATGCTTAATTTGATATTACAATGTGGGTTTAAAGGAATAGGGTTGGACTTGGTGCTTATAACCCACGGACAATGGTGACACCAGAATAACATTCTGATTCTGAAGCTGAAAATACTTATTTTAGACAAATATGCTTGATCTGTCACTGACTAGATATATTTAAAATAATGTCGGCCACTTTTTACTGGTAACATCAGACATTTGGCATCATCAGCACCCACAAATATTCCCACATTGCATTATTATACATTATAATCAACATTATATATAGTAGTTTAATGTATTACTGACACTAAAACTCTGAAAATTTGAATTTTCTCACAGTAATTTTTATTTTGGGGGGGACTATCCACGATACATATTGTCACTATCTACTATACGTATTGTTGCATTTTTGTATTGCGATATATTGTTACACCCCTAGATAGTGTCAGTTTTTCCCATAGAGTCTAGACTGTAAAAATTATGGACAAAGCGTCTGTGACGTCACCCATAGACTCTCTGAAGAACGGGCTTGATGCTGTTTATGGGGGGTATATGGGCGGCGCCATACTGGAAAATCTTGGAAAATACAAAAGTTTCAGAAAGGATACAGAGTTGGTATGATGTGTTGTGTCAGATCATGACCGAGACGTCAAACTCACTCGGCGCAGCCCGTTATCAGCTGTCAATCAAAGTTAACCGCCCTTATTTGTCATACGTTTATATCTAAATATGATCTAAACTAACAAGTTAGAAAAAAATTCACCCCCCTCACCGTTGTCAGGCACGCGCAACATATTGAAGATTACAATAAAAGTCCATGGGACCAAACTGTAAACATGAAATTTATGCTGTGAAAACGGACATTATAACATGACGTCTATGGATATTTGCTCCCTTTTGGGACCGGCCTCTAGCGGATTTGAGATGTATTGCAGTTTATCGCACTTCCGGGTAGGCTTCATCTTTCAGATTAGAATGTTGCCGCTTGGTTTTTCCACATCAATTTGAGCCCGAGTCCTCGTCCTCTTGAAGTGCAGCGAAGTGGATTCTCAGCACTGAAAACAGTGTCTTATCGACATGAACAACACAAACCAAACTCTTCCAGTCTCAGCTATAGCTACAGTGTTTGAGGGTCGAAGTTGACCTTGTTCGAAGGCAGACGATGAAGACTATAGGCTGGCATTATGTACATTTGTTGCATTGTTCAGGTATGTATCAGGAAGTGAGACTGCAATTGCTGATGACTTACTTCACCAGTTCAGAATTGATTCTTTCTTTTAGGAGACTAACTTTATTTTTCTTGCACTTTGATCTTTAAAACTTTGCAGACCTTTTACGTTCATAAACAACACTGCATGAAAGCTGATGTTTGAAAAGGGGCATTTTAATAATTGAGAATGATTTTTTTTTGTACATTTATAGGACAAGTCTAGGAAGAAAAAGAAAAAGAGGAAGCATAAGAAACACAGCAGAAAGAAAAAGAGGAAGACTTCTGGCTCTGAGTTGGACTGAAGGGCTAGTGTGACGTCCTCCGTGACGGGCGGCTGGAATTGAGTGGGAATGGAGACGGAGCTCTTGCCAGACTGTGGGAGAATAATCCCCATTAGATATCTGTTCAAGTGACTCTTAAATGCGGGTGCTGCTTGGCACCGGCCGGCTGTGTGGCCGACTTGGATGAGAGGCTCAAGTGGTCGGGGACTTGAAAGGGGTTTGGGGTTCATTAAGCTCGCTTTGTTTGTTTTTTAAAGCAGATGATTCTCAGTCCAAATAAAAGTCATTTACACCAATGCTGGCCCTGTGTACAGTATGTTTGTGCTGATAGATTTGCTGGTTTATGGGTTGTAAAGGCAGTTGAATTTGCATTAAATATTTTTAGAAAATTCCTGCTTCTGTTTTTCCCTATGAACCTGACAATTAAATTTCATTCTGTGATAGTTAGAATGAACCAGTGTTTCTTGCACCGATCTTCAGCGGCACAAAAAAACAAACATATTTTTACCCAGGTTGTGAATATGAGTTTGCGATCTGTGTTAAATGTGATGCAATAAAGAGGGTGTATACTGCGAAAAATGGCACAAATGACTCTTATGAGCCAGTGCTTTTAATAAATAGTTTGAAAAGGCTAATTGTAACACTGTGGCTGCATTTATTTGATACAGTGAAATATTTTGATCATTAAAATGAACCGTTTCCTATTTGAATATACACAGCCCAATCCAAAAAAAAAAAAAAAAAAACGTTTGGGTTTAAATAGGCAAATGCTTCAGAGTCTATGACTAGATCATCATTGCAACGATTATTATGTTTCTAACATGTTCTCTGTTTAGGAACTGTTCTTTTAACCATAATTGCTGAAGTGTGTAGCTTTTCATTTCTTAAACAACCATGTAGGAAGGCCATATTCTAGGATGATAACGTCAGGATTCATCAGGCTCAATTTGAAAGAATATTTGGAAGAAAGCATGAAGACACACATGCACACATGAAGTGGCTCCTCTGAGTTCATTGAAAGTGGGATGTGCTGGAGGAGACTTTACAGAGTGCTGGACTCTTGCACTGTCAATACAAGATCTTGACTAAAAATGTATGCACCTCCAAGTGTTGTGATGTTATTTCCATCAAGAGGGGCATCCAATAATAAGGCCAAAATAAGTTTGTTTGGCTGGTAAATGCCTTCAAACTACCATTGGTGCGTGGCAATTACGTAATATGTAGGTGTGGCTCTGGGGACAGTCATAGACTCTTAAGTATTTGCCTATTTAAAACCAAACTGAATTTTTTGGGGGCCGGCCAGTGTATTTTAAAATGTAATTTATTCCTGTGATGCAAATCAATGACACATTAGTCTTAATAATGGGCTATGAACCCTTTTTTTCGATAGCGCTTCCACACTCATAGTTGCTGTGGACTTAAATGACACCTTTAGGTCTCTTCATGGCTATTTATGTGTGTGATAGTTCCTGAAAACATTGTCTTCCTGAGTCATGCTTGGTTTCAGATGAAACTTTGCATGCGTCTGCACTGAATATCCGTGTGTCTGTCTCTCACTTGCGCTGGTTTCACACCTGTAGCAGTATGAGTGTGTGCCGCAACTCTTTGAGAGAACTTCCCTTCTGAGATCATCTGATACTGTGTGTTTAAGCTGTGTTCATCTGCAGTGAGTGTGTGTCGGTGAGCCTGTCTCTGGCCCTCAGGGTGACAGCAGTGTTTTGGAAGCTCGTCCAGGTGTGTGTGTCCAAATGGCACGTGGGCGGGGCCTAGACTAGGTTCTCTCATTTCCCTGGCAAATACTGTCACCAGTTCCCTTTTCTTGTCACACAGCTTCTGGAGATTCTAGCAGAGATGGAATGTGTTGGAGTCGTCATGTTTCTTCTGACGTGCATCTTATTTCTCTTCGTTCCTGGTAAGATGATTTTTATGTTTGACTGACTTTGACAACTTTCACTGAACTTTCAGTAAAAACAATTTCACGGTCATTTTTGGCCAAAAATTTGACGTTGAGCCATTAAGAGAAAGCCAATAGTTTGGGACATCATCTGAATAAATACATTTACATTTTTGAAATTCGCAGTAGAATAAATGTTTATTATTTTAATTAAAATGTACTTTAAAGTTATTATGCTTAAGGAAGAAGGTGGATTGACACCTTTAATTATTTATTATGATGATGAGTGTTGACTTTCAGCAAAAACATCCTTCTCTGCACATTAAGATTGTCAGGTACAGAACCTGAAAGACTAAAACTGATTTGATTTGAATTCTGTAATTCTGACTTCCTACATTCGGACATTTTCACTTCCATTTTGAAAACTTCGATGGAATAGATTCCTACTGTGACTGTCAGTCTTTGTCCTTTTTTTGTTTTAAAATTAAATTTTTCACAATTCCATTTCATTTTATAGGACCAAAGTAAACAAATCGATATTTTAAAACATTAATTATTTTATTGTATTAAATTTAATTGAATTTGGATTTTTTATATAAACAAATCTGTATGATTTCATGTTCAATGTTTTTAAATGTGGTGGCATTATAGTTTTATTATTGTGTGCTAAATTAATTTTAAACATAACATTAACATAAACACAAATGGTCATAATCTTAATATTTGTGCTATGCATTACTGTTGTAAAAATCACTGTTTTCATAAATCCATTTAAATTAATACACAAAATAAAATTATATATATAATTAAATTATTTATTTAATTTTAAATAAATTGTATAAAACTTAATAAATCCCCAATATTTTTTTTACAGATTGTACAAATATGCAATATTATATTTCACGATAAAAATAAATATGTGTATAAGGGTGGGTAGGAAGGTGTTGCTGAATGTCAGCAGTCATCATCATAATAAATAATCATAAAACATATCCGTCTACCTTCTTCCTTAAGTATAAATAAACATGAAAATAGAGTGTGTGTGTGTGTGTGTCATATATATATATATATATATATATATATATATATATATATATATATATATACACAGTACATACATATATATATATATATATATATATAATTATACACTCATATTCTTGTGACAGATGGTTCCTACATTTTGATTTTTGTCTCACATGATGCTTCAAAAATACACATGCACAAACATCCAAGGCTTAGTGGATTATTCACAGTCAGGCTTTTGTTCATTTTCCAGTCCACACATTATGTGCATTTTGGTTACAGCGCAAATGTCTGTACTGGACTGTCATGGGATGTGAACAGCAAATATAGCAGTGTTTGTTTGTGTTTTGGAAGTTGATGGTTTGCTTGTTGGTGTGAATAGCTCAATACCTAATGCCTTTTGTTATGGTGGTCTAATTGTGCTGTTGCTATCCCCGAAATAATCCTTGTTTGGAGACAATAAGACCAGAACAGGCCAAGCACACAATGAGTGTGATAAGTGTGCCATAAAGTCATGCACACTTTCACTTCCACTGAACCTGCCCTCTGGTTCTCTGTGCGTGCAATAGGGGTGTCTTTATTTATTATTTAGCACACAACACGAGCCACACAGTTGTCTATTGTAATGCATAACATTGTCTGTCAGCTGGCCGATAAAGCGAATAGGGTGGAGAGGGCCGTGTCCGGGTGGTGAAGGGGTATGAGAGCGATAGAGCGAGGGAGGAGTGAAACTGTCTGTACCTGCCTGCTGCCACACGGCCTTGCCTAGCAACCTAATGCAGATTAACAGCTGTCAGTTAAAGCAGCCCGCCATCACTGTGTCCATGCTAAAGAAATCTTATCCTTAAGTAAATGAGATATATCAGTTTAGAGTTCAATAGAGCAGCGCACTCTCTTTACTGCTTTATCGGAGCATTACTTTTGCGATCAGAGATACGAAGGTCTTCATGTAACATGTGATGAGTGTTTGCTCACCGACCAGTTCAGACAAATTAGAGAGGACTTGATGTTTAATCACTATCATTCTGAGAAGCTGGTCAATATTTGCTCATGCAGGTTTGATCATGCGGAGAGGGCAAAGGCAGATCTGTGTGTGTGTGAACTAATTAATCATGCTGGAATTGCAGATTATGTGAGGGTTATGTCTTATTCTGCAAACTTCTTATTGTACTGTTACTTGAAGTGCCCAGTTGAACCAAAGGAGAAGGAAAACTGCTCGGATTAGCAACGGATTTGGATGAATGTTTTAATCAGCGATGTCACTGTTAATGAGAAACATTGCAGTCGCGTTCTGCACAAATGACCGAAAAGTTTAATATTGAGCATTTGAAGCCTAGGATGGCGTTATGTTGTACATACAGATGGTATTTTCTGCTTTGTGGAAAGTTCAGTGTGTGTGTGTAGTCCCTTGTGATCAAATAGTGTCCTTGATTATATTGAATGTGCATTTGTAGCGTACTTCAAATAATAAAAGTAGGCTATAGTTTTTGTAAAAACGTGTGCAGATTATATAATATTAATGAAATGAAATGCCACTGAAGTGTTCACTTTCATGACTGTTACTTAACACACTTAAAGGGATAGTTCACTTTGAAATTAATTTTTGATATGTTTTAGCTTACCTCAAGGGCATCCAAGATGTAGGTGTCTTTGTTTCCACGGTATTTTCAATTTTGATATTTTTCGGTCAAACCGTTGTTGTCTGTCAGTCATATAATGCAGGTTTAGGGGGTCCACGTCAAAGAGCATGCACAGAGAAGTCAAAATTAAACATGATTTAATGACTCGTAAATGTAAGTACACATTGATGGCCTAAGACACGAAACGAGCGGTTTGTGTGAGAAAACAAACAGTATTTATATCGTTTTTACCTTGTGTAACCACAGCCATGTCCAACTGATCTGAATCAGTTGTTCAATGTCCAACTCCAACGTTCCGCCGGAAGTGATCTCTCGTGTGTGTACGTCACTCATTGTTTACTAAACATATTTAGATATCGAAAACGTCTTCCATTGCGATTTCCTGTATATTTAAATATGTTTAGATCTTAAAGGTAAAACTTCCAAAATCTCTATGTAAACAATGAGTGACGTACACACGCCAGAGATCACTTCCGGGGGAACGTTGGGCATGGTTCAGTTCGGTTCAGTTGAACATTGGACAACTGATTCAGATCAGTTGGACATGGCTGTGGTAAAAAATGATATAAATACTGTTCTAAATTTAAACTATAATACAATTTAATTTGATGCATACAGTTAAATGTAAAAAAAGCATAACATTCAGTTTGCACTCAGTTTAAGAAAATTCTTAGTGCAAATTAAAGAATTAAAAAAAAAATTAAAGTATGTTTCCGTAATAAGTAATTTTTTTAGTACGCTGAAGTGTATTTTTTTAAGTGTAAGGGGTGTGATTTACTTTTGTTAAATTTCCCTTTTTACTCACAAAAAATGTTAGATTTTTTTTCAAGTTCATCACAAGAGACAATAAAGCTGTTTAGCTTTTTAGTTCTAAAATCCGATAAATGCAAGATGTTAATTTGCTACATAAAGGCATTTGATCATTTCAAACTTCACAATTTAGCTATAACTGTTTCATTTATGCTGTAGAACAATATATGAAAGTCTTTTTAAGTTAACTTAAGTACAGTACTCAAGTAAATGTACTTTGTCACTGTCCACCTCTTTAGACCTTATTTTAATCATAAATCTAAAACTGCTTTTCTGAAAAAACATTTAAAGGGAATCCATGTTGACTTAGCATCCAAATTGACGTGATGACTGAACTCTGACATAATTATTTGTGTATATCTTAAATATTTTTTGACAGGGGAAGTCATTAAACACCATTTTACACTCTCTTTTGAACAGGTACAGACTCTGAATACATTTCCCTGGAGCCCACGCATCATGGGAAAAGGGGCGACTCTATGCTCCTCAAAGTTGAGACTCATTTTGATGTTCGGAATGTAACGTTCCAGGGGACCTGGCATAAAACTAACCCCAGTCTCACTCATTTGGTCACTTTCACAGAGAACTCTGTCATCCTAAATATGCTGCTGAAAAACAATATGGTGCTCAATTTTCCTAATGTCTCACTATATTTCAAGCATCTGGATGAGGACACACAGGGGGAATATGAGCTGAAGATCAACATCAACTTCCCAAAAATCTCCGAACCAGTGACTGTCACTAAAAGAGTAACGGTCACAGTCAGCGGTAAGAGCCTTTGAATGTTTTCTTGGGTTCTCATACAAATGCAAGTCTGATTCCTATGGAAGCCCATTTCTGGCAGATAATAAAGAAATCATGCTCTAGTAAGTCATAATTATGGCATAAAATGTTGAAATTATCACAGTCAATTTAAATTATGACTTAAAAATCTAAATTATTCCATACTAAATTGAAATTGACTTAATAGTAGGGATTATGACTTAAAAAGTTGGAATTATTACTTTAAAAGATATAATTATGAGACACTACATTGAAATCCTGTCTTAAAAAGTTGGAATTATAACTTTAAAAATAAAAATTATGAATTAAATAGATAGGATTTTACATTATGACTTAAAAAGACCAACTAAATCTAAATTATGATTTTAAAAGTGGGAATTATGACTTTAAAAAAATCTAAATTATGCTCTAAAATGTCAGAATTGAGTAAAAAAGTCATGTTAAAAGATAAAAAGCCCAAATTAAAACGTACAATTAATGTTTTTTTTCTCTGAGATGGAAACGGGCTGCCATATACGCATATTTCAGAGAATCTCTTTTCTTGTAAGCACTCAGTTTTATGTCTTGTCTGCTTCCAGTGCCTGTGTCCGTCCCCGTCATTAGTAAGACCCCAGAATCAGAAATCGTGGAAGACAGGGACAATGTGACGCTGAGTTGCTCAGTTGAACACGGGACAAATGTACAGTTCGAATGGCTAAAGGACGACTTTCTTGTTGGTCCAAGTGACCGGCATACATTCTCACAAGATAATCGGACGCTTGTAATAAACCCTGTCAAGAAAGAAGACATCGGTCGATACGTTTGTGTGGCGATAAACCCCATTAGCAGTGCGCCAAGCAAGCAGGCTGAGCTCAGTGTGTGCTGTGAGTATCTGTCATTCTGTTCTGACTCATTTATCATCTATTATCATCCCATGTGTAAATCATTGCATCGTTATTGCACACTGTCCAGCAGGTTCCTCCTGCAGCCTGACAATTAACTGCTGTTTGCATTGTAATGCAAACGTTAAACATGATCTGTCCTGACACGCCTTTTATATTAAAGCAAAGGTAGATGAAAGTGGGTCAAGCTATTAAAGGTGTAAAGCCTGTTTTTTTTCTTACTAAATTTTTAACATTAAAGAAATCATTAGTATTTAAAAATAATTTTTAAAAAAAGTTTAAAATCGCGTACACTCATGAGATAAAGACTAATTTCAGTAGCCTAATAAAAGCTGATTTATTTTACATGAAGGGGGTCCCCTCGTGGGGGCCGCCATTTTGAAATCGCATGACCAGCTGAAAAATTACTCAATTTTGCTCCTTAACCTTCCTGTTGTCTTACAATATAAGTTACAGAATAAAGTAGGGATGTCAACGATTCATCGAGGATCGATTAATTTTCGATAAGACATTTAATCGATAAAAAATGTTATTATCAATTAACCATGCGTGTGCGTGTTCATGCGTTCGTGCTGCTCCACCGCGAATCATGTAAGTGAGCGAAGAATTGTCGCTAAATCGTGATCTTTAGCGAGCGTTGCTCAGAGCAATGATAAGTTTTTGAAAATGATCAAAAACGTAGGTGGTGTGGCTAGCAACTTTTAAAAGCACTGGCGGGGAAAGAGTTAATAGTAGACTACACTAGAACTTTAGTGTAGTAGAACTAAAACAAAGTAATAGAAAATTGCAATGAAATTAAAAAAATGAATGTGTTGAAAAACAAACCACGATTAATGTTTTTTGCTACTTTACCAAATTTTTCAGATGGGCCTTATAACCTGGCAGTAAATTCTGACCAATGTCTGAAAACTGAAGGCGTGTTCACAGTGAACCCTGGGGAAATGGTCTTTTTTGAGTGTTATGCGGACTCGAACCCTCCCAACACCTGCGCCTGGATCTCTATAACAAAGAACGACACAGAGGTTATCATGATTGGGCCGCGGTTTGAAGTGAAGCCGTATGAGTTACCTCAGAGTAAAGAGTTCTTGTGTAGAGCATTCAACAATGTGACGAAGAAGCAGGACGAGACCAAGTTCACACTGGTGGTGGCCAAATTTAGAGGTATGATTGCTGCCACCTACAGTTTTGGATTTGTATATTAGTTCATGTTTTGTTGATATGTCTTTACTGTTTGTGGAATCCCAAAAACACCTATTGATGCACATCTAAAAATAATGATGGTAATTTCAAAATTGAAGGTTTAAGGCATAACCAAAGGTGCAAGTCTGTGGACCCTGTGCAGACCCTGCCCCCTTGTGGAGGTTCTACCCCCTTGTGGAAACCCTGGCCACTTGTGGAGGTTCTACCTCCTTGTGGAAACCTCCCCCCCTTCTGTAGGCTCTGCCCCTTGTGGAGACCCTGCCCACTTGTGGAGGTTCTGCCCCCTTGTGTAGACCCTGGCTGCCCACTTGTGGAGGTTCTGCCCACATATTGGAAACCCTTCCAACTTTTGTAGGTTCTACCCCCTTATGGAGGTTCTGCCCCTTTGTGGAGACCTTGCCCCCTTGTGGAAACCGTGCCCACTTGTGAAGGCTCTGCCCCCTACCTCCCCCTTGTGGAGGTTCTGCCCCCTTGTGGAAACCCTGCTCACTTGTGGAGGTTCTGCCCCCTTGTGGAAACCCTGCTCACTTGTGGAGGTTCTGCCCCCTTGTGGAGACCCTGGCCACTTGTGGAGGTTCTACCTCCTTGTGGAAACCGTGCCCACTTGTGGAGGTTCTGCCCCCTACCTCCCCCCCTTCTGTAGGTTCTGCCCCTTGTGGAGACCCTGCCCTCTTGTGGAGGTTCTGCCCACTTATTGGAGACCCTGGCCACTTGTGGAGGTTCTACCTCCTTGTGGAAACCGTGCCCACTTGTGGAGGTTCTGCCCCTACCTCCCCCCCTTCTGTAGGTTCTGCCCCTTGTGGAGACCCTGCCCACTTGTGGAGGTTCTGCCCCCTTGTGTAGACCCTGGCTGCCCACTTGTGGAGGTTCTGCCCACATATTGGAAACCCTTCCAACTTTTGGAGGTTCTACCCCCTTATGGAGGTTCTGCCCCTTTGTGGAGACATTGCCCCCTTGTGGAAACCGTGCCCACCTGTGAAGGCTCTGCCCCTACCTCCCCCTTGTGGAGGTTCTGCCCCCTTGTGGAAACCCTGCTCACTTGTGGATGTTCTGCCCCCTTGTGGAGACCCTGCCCTCTTGTGGAGGTTCTGCCCACTTATTGGAGACCCTTGCCACTTGTGGAGGTTCTGCCCCTTACCTCCCCCCTTGTGGAGACCCTACCCTCTTGTGGAGACCCTGCCCACTTGTGGAGGTTCTGCCCCCTTGTGTAGACCCTGGCTGCCCACTTGTGGAGGTTCTGCCCACATATTGGAAACCCTTCCAACTTTTGTAGGTTCTACCCCATTATGGAGGTTCTGCCCCTTTGTGGAGACCTTGCCCCCTTGTGGAAACCGTGCCCACTTGTGAAGGCTCTGCCCCCTACCTCCCCCTTGTGGAGGTTCTGCCCCCTTGTGGAAACCCTGCTCACTTGTGGAGGTTCTGCCCCCTTGTGGAAACCCTGCTCACTTGTGGAGGTTCTGCCCCCTTGTGGAGACCCTGCCCTCTTGTGGAGGTTCTGCCCACTTATTGGAGACCCTGGCCACTTGTGGAGGTTCTACCTCCTTGTGGAAACCGTGCCCACTTGTGGAGGTTCTGCCCCCTACCTCCCCCCTTCTGTAGGTTCTGCCCCTTGTGGAGACCCTGCCCACTTGTGGAGGTTCTGCCCCCTTGTGTAGACCCTGGCTGCCCACTTGTGGAGGTTCTGCCCACATATTGGAAACCCTTCCAACTTTTGGAGGTTCTACCCCCTTATGGAGGTTCTGCCCCTTTGTGGAGACATTGCCCCCTTGTGGAAACCGTGCCCACCTGTGAAGGCTCTGCCCCCTACCTCCCCCTTGTGGAGGTTCTGCCCCCTTGTGGAAACCCTGCTCACTTGTGGATGTTCTGCCCCCTTGTGGAGACCCTGCCCTCTTGTGGAGGTTCTGCCCACTTATTGGAGACCCTGGCCACTTGTGGAGGTTCTGCCCCTTACCTCCCCCCTTGTGGAGACCCTACCCTCTTGTGGAGACCCTGCCCACTTGTGGAGGTTCTGCCCCCTTGTGTAGACCCTGGCTGCCCACTTGTGGAGGTTCTGCCCACATATTGGAAACCCTTCCAACTTTTGTAGGTTCTACCCCCTTATGGAGGTTCTGCCCCTTTGTGGAGACCTTGCCCCCTTGTGGAAACCGTGCCCACTTGTGAAGGCTCTGCCCCCTACCTCCCCCTTGTGGAGGTTCTGCCCCCTTGTGGAAACCCTGCTCACTTGTGGAGGTTCTGCCCCCTTGTGGAAACCCTGCTCACTTGTGGAGGTTCTGCCCCCTTGTGGAGACCCTGCCCTCTTGTGGAGGTTCTGCCCACTTATTGGAGACCCTGGCCACTTGTGGAGGTTCTACCTCCTTGTGGAAACCGTGCCCACTTGTGGAGGTTCTGCCCCCTACCTCCCCCCCTTCTGTAGGTTCTGCCCCTTGTGGAGACCCTGCCCACTTGTGGAGGTTCTGCCCCCTTGTGTAGACCCTGGCTGCCCACTTGTGGAGGTTCTGCCCACATATTGGAAACCCTTCCAACTTTTGGAGGTTCTACCCCCTTATGGAGGTTCTGCCCCTTTGTGGAGACATTGCCCCCTTGTGGAAACCGTGCCCACCTGTGAAGGCTCTGCCCCTACCTCCCCCTTGTGGAGGTTCTGCCCCCTTGTGGAAACCCTGCTCACTTGTGGATGTTCTGCCCCCTTGTGGAGACCCTGCCCTCTTGTGGAGGTTCTGCCCACTTATTGGAGACCCTGGCCACTTGTGGAGGTTCTGCCCCTTACCTCCCCCCTTGTGGAGACCCTACCCTCTTGTGGAGACCCTGCCCACTTGTGGAGGTCCTGCCCACTTTTGGAGGTCCTGCCCCCTTGTGTAGCTCCTTTCCCTTTGTGGAGACCCTGCCCACTTGTGGCGGTCCTGCCCCCTTGTGGAGGTCCTGTTCCCTTATGGAGACCTTGCCCACTTGTGGCGGTCCTGTCTACTTGTGGAGGTTCTGCCCCCTTGTGGAGGTTCTGCCCACTTGTGGAGGTTCTGCCCACTTGTGGAGGTCCTGCCCCTTGTGGAGGTTCTACCCCCTTGAGGAGACCCTGCCCACTTGTGGAGGTTCACGCCCCATTTTAGAGATCTCTGGTCTGCAGCTATAACTTGTCAAAGCTAGCTTCCTATTGCTAGCTGTTCCAAAATTGCCTACCCTACCTTTAAGTAACCTTTAAATTATTTTATTAAATTCTTCTGACCTTATCAAACTGAAGTAGACCAACATTATTGAAGCTTTAAATAATTGAATAATAATAATACAAAAAATTGTCATTGGCTTTGGTGTTTTCAGTTAATCTCTCCTGTTTGTTATTCCTTTGTTCCATCTATTGTCACACTGCAAGGTGTTTTTTTTGTTCTCCAGTTGCTAAGTAAATTTGTCCCACCTGTGATTAAGTTTAGCTGTTCCACTGGAAAGTAAATAGGGGCTAGCACCTGTTCTTATTGTTTACTGCGTTACAGGCCATGCATTTTCTTTCAGTGTATACTATGAATCCAAACATGCATTGCAAGTTCTTGGTTGTTTAAAGATGAAAATCACACACCAGATATGATTTATTACAAAATATAAAATGTAATGCTGATAGATCAATCTGTTTCCAGGAACTTCGAGATATATGCAGGAAGGGAGTGCACTGTCTCCATTGACTTTTATCACAATCTTCTCAGTCGTCATCATTGTGTGTATGATGTTTGTGCTCCTACGGAAGAGCTGCCATCCCAAAAGAAGTATGAAAACATTCTGCTTTTTAACAATATTCAGGCATCAACTTAATAATGTGTAATTTGAACAAAGTCAGTTATTCATAAAACATGTTTTTCACTTTAAAATAATAGTCTAGATCACTAGTAGTTCTTGCAGAGTGACAAGGTAATGCTTGAGCATTTTATAACTATATTCAGAGTAAAAAAGATGACTGATTACATCCCAGATTCATGATAATGTTCTAAAAAATGTTCTCTTAAATGTGACATCACTTACTGACTAGTTAAGCTTGCTTCTATAGTTAATAGTGGTAGCTTAAATATTAATGTAGTTCTTCTCATTAGTCCTGCATTGCTTCCTGCATTGTTACTTATTAATGATGGTCTATTATTCTAATGTTGCCGAAATTTCAGGACAGAAAAAACGAATATCTACAGATTTCAAGGGGTCTTTAATTATTAATTTAGTTTTTGTCATGCCTTATTTACATTGGCTACAGTTACTGAGACAGAAATAATTTTTAACCGATTTTCATTTTTCTACAGTGATAAAGTCCATCTACAAGCGGTAAGAAAATAATTCTAATTTATACAAGCATGTGATAAATATGACACATTTATTGATTTCTGTGACATCATTGATGGATTGATTCTGTCCTCCAGGCCTATGACAGAGCAGAGAGGACTGCACCGCTCCGGTATGTTTACTGCACGCCTCGGACTATAATATACCTGTGTTGTTAAGCACTGATGTGTACACTGCCTCTCTATACAAACAAACTCCCCAATCCCATTAACATTACAACTATAATCGTATCTGCTTGGTTTCTGTCAGCATACGCTTTAAACATTTGTTCCACCTCGCTGGTTTGGTTTTACTTGGCCACGTACACTGTCACTCCCTTTTGAAAATAAATAGGATATTATAAACTACTTACTGTCTAAAGTAAACTAGTGTGCTAGTGAACTAAAAATGTGGACGAAATGATTCAAACGCTGTCTAATGGAAACACATAGCTTTTAAAACATTGCATAATATACTGTAGATCTCAATAGAAGTTAATGGCAAATAAAGTAAACATATTTATATTACTTGCCTAAATTTAGCTTTGTATTATAAATACACCAATCTGAATAATATTTGCAGGTCATGAAGATGCAACTGAAGACTTTGGCATCTATGAATTTGTCTCTATACCTGAGAAAATGGATTCAACACAGGTAGAAAATAATCACTTTGCTATTTTGCATGAGCAGTTTTGCCCCAGAACAGTTTATTATTTCTTCCCTCTGTTTTCCAGGCATCCTGCAGGTCTTTGGCTCGGCTCGATTCAGTCAGAGATTTGCATACCACCATCTATGATGTCATCAGACATGTGCCTGAAACTCCTACACTGAGTCTTCTGAAGTGAGAGCGGTGGATATTCACGTGTGCTCAGATGTAAAGATGAAATGCAATTTTTTTTTTGCCATTTTTTTCTCAGTCACACATTTAAGCACATTTTTTGCTTTACAGTTATTCATTTTTACACTTACTTTTTATACTTCCTAAAATCTGAAAAACACAACTTGTGCTGGGCACTTATTGTTTTTTTTTTTTTTTTTATGGTCTTTAAAAAATATATAAGAAAGATAACTTTGAGATTTTATTCTGTAGCAACAACATGCTTAATGAAAAACTAAGAGTATTTATATATAAATACAGTTGTCGTCTTACACCGATTATCTTGCATAATGTAAATATGTATGCATTTTGTACTTTGAAACTGTATTGTTTGCACACTGCAGTGTATTCTGTGATATTGCTCATTACATTTTAGAGATGCCACATTTCAACAGACATCTTCTATTTTGTTTTCTGTGTTGCACCTGTTCACATTTTAAACATAGATGCATCCATTTGTTATTTGAAAATAAAAGTTTTTAAAAATATACTTTGCAATCTTTTCTTTTTTATTAAATATAAGATATAGGGGTTACTCATTAAGTAATGCGAGTAATGTAATAAGATTCCTTTTTCAAGTGTCTAGTAAATTAATATTACATTTAAATGTTCAAGAAATATCAAAGTTACTTTCTTCTTGCTAGTTACTTGGTTCTCCCGTTTATAATGGGAGTGAATGGTGCCTTAGATTTTAAAGCCCCAAAAAGCACATCCATCCATCATAAAATTAATCCATATGGCTCCAGGGGGTTAATAAATGCCTTCTGAAGTAAAGTGATGCATTTTTGTAAGAAAATATTCATGTTTATAATATGCTTCGGGTCAGAGGTCACTTATGCCCTTTACCGGAAGCCAGTGATTATAGTTTATAAAGTTCACTCCCATTATAAAGCTTGTAAGAGCCAAGATAGTTTTTAATATATCTTAGATTGTGTTGGCTGAAAGCAGTAATGTACACCTATAGCTTGAAGGAATATGGGATCATTTTCACTTTTTGTGTGAACTAACCCCTTCAACACTGATGTGTATTCTTCTATCCCCAGAGAGACTGTCTGATAAACATTTTCTATTAACAAACAGGCAGTGGATTTATAATATGACTACGTATTTCTTCCCTCTGTTTCTCTAGAAGAGCAGCAGTGTTACATCAACATCTCTCCGCCTGGGGGAAGAGGAGGTGCCACTCCCTCATTTGACTGGGAAATCATCAGAACTTTATTGACGGAAAACACTGCTCTCTTATGTGTGCTCATATCAGCATAAACAGCCAGTTAGAGAGACTCGTCTCAAACACCCACCCACGCTATAGAATATTTATGGCAGGTAGCTCATATATTTGCTGTAAACTAATCTCTGAGCCGTGAGAGGTAAACAAATGAGGTCTTGTCGTCGCTTTTTCCAAGAATTCATTTTATGTGTGTGTTGGTACTGAAGTGCAACACAATGCAGCCAGTCTTCTATGCTAAAGACAAAATTAAGCACTTTAGTGTAGTCTAGAAATGGTTAAAAAAAATCAAGAGATAGGCTAACTTCGTCATTCCTATTTATCTCTCAAAAAGTGGTGATGCAAAATATGGAAATTTCTAATGATGGCTTCTATAAAGCAGTATACAAATACAGGCCTATAATTGCTCTCGGAGGCATGCCAGCTTTTTAATTTGATTTAAATGTAAAATTTATTAAACAAATAAGCATAAGAAGAACCGTTTTGTCTGCAGAAAGTGCTGACAATATATAACATCACAACAGTAGGCCTATACTAAAAAGCCCATAAGGGGAAAAAAAAAGAAAAACATGCCAAAAAGTCACAATTGTGACATAAGACGTTGGAATTATGATATACAAATGAATAATTATGAGACATAAGTCTAATTATAAATATTTACAGTACCACTTACAGTAATTATTATTTTTTTATGTCATAATGTTGACTTTTGAGCTAGCTCAACATTATCTTGAGCTTTTATACTTGACAGTACGTGAGCAAGCTCTTAGTCCTTAACGTTACGTAGAAACAAAGTATTATTTTCATGTTATCACTGTTGCTTTGATACAATTCTGTATTGTAAAAAGTGCTATATAAGGTGACTTGACTTTTGACTTAATGTCGTAATTATAACTTTTTATGCAAAATTTTTGAAAATTTCGTAAATGGGCTGATCCATAGGCCTACTACATTCTCTTGTTTTAAATATAAAGTAAAATTGTGGTTAAAATCTACAATCATGTACCCATTAATCATTTGAAACTTGTTGTCTGAGAGGCGATTTGTGTGATGATGTTTTTATGGTATTTGTTGGATTGTCAATTGTATGTTTTCCTTTCCTGCCCAGGGACTACAGATGAAATTTAGCTTAAGTAGCTAATTCTGGTATGGCTGAATGCCATACACTGTCACTTTTAAATAAATATAATAAATAGAATAAATACTCGTAGCTATTTCTGCCATGTTTTAAATTAGCCTAGTATACCGCTAATTCTAAGGAACTACATATCCCATGCTGCACTGGCCACCTGTCACGTGATCCCAACAGTGAAACATGGCACCTGTGTAGCACTGTAGGAACTGAATCGCCGTTTTGTCAGACAAACACCAAAGGATACATTGGGTTTTACTGCTGTTCATCTATACGATGCAGAAAATCAAGTCTCTGATGTCCCGTCAGGTGTGTTATTTCTCCGCTTCACATCAGTCTGCTTCTTGCTCTCATTGACGAATCCGGAAGCATTTTAAAAAGCTAGCCTGCTTGCTAAATACAAATAATTAACAGTAAAACAGATTATAGATCTGCATATTTCCTTATAGTATCATAACGCATTCCATCATTAACAAAAATAACTGAAATATTACTATAAAAAGGTAATGTGAGCTCTTGGCCAGTTGAAGATGCTGCAGATCAATAAGAATCTCCCTTTTCTGACCTGTCATATATAACGTTAGACGTTTAGAATACAAACGTAGGGTACAAAGGGGTTAAAGGCTTAACCTAAGAAAAATGAGCTTTTCATGAAAAAAAAAAAAAAAATCTGAAAAAATGATATGTTTTTATTGAAAATTGATGGAGCAACAGATTTTGTGTCAAAATAAATCAGATTTTTTTTAATCTTATAAATGAATGAGGTGGCATGTTGAGCCTTTTATTCCACACATTGGATAAAAGACAAATACTTCTTTGCTTGATACAAATACTTTAATTAAAATAACATGTTTTTAACAATGTCTAAGTTAATTCTGGTTCAAAACAGTCATTTTTAGCTTAATTTGTACCCTATAATTTTCATTAAACAGTTCACTTAAAAAAAAATTACAGAAACAAAATTAGTTAAAAAACCCCCCCTAAAAATTCTGAAAGCATTGAAGGAGATCCCATAGTAATTTAATAAAGCTTTAAAGTCATAACAAATAAATCTGACATTTTATTATATGATATGATTAATATGATTAATATCATATATTTATTTATTTATTACATATATATGGTTTCATTATAAATATGGTACCACTTCTAAGTTAGACACCCAATTTGATGTATGATATTTATTACCATCTGAATCTAAACATGTCATTCTACCAAATGGAAAAGTCAACCAGCTATTTCTTATGTTAATTATTGTCTTTTACCCCAAACACATATTCTTCCGTTATTGAAAAACTGTTGCTTTATTTACCTTGAACAAAACTGAATATCATTAACAAGAACTTTGTATCAAAATATAGCCATTAATTTTATTGATTGATTTGCTACATAAATCTACAACATTTTAACATTATTAAATATTAGATCAAATTAGTGGTTTAAAAGAGAATAAAGTCAAAAGCGCCTTTTACCCTGGTGCGAATTCAGTCCCGTTGTACCATGTGTCGTTAAACATTTTGTTTTGTCTTTGTGCAGTTTGCCCCCATTGGTGGATTATTGCTAATTTTTGTATTAATATTTCTAAATAGGATTACCATATTATTAGGGGTCGGCAGCATCTAAACCCCCCATAAGTCGATTGATTCCTTACATTTATGGTTTATTGTTGATTTTCTTTGCCAGGGTCTGAAAAGTCCCCAGGAGAGTGTGGTTGACATGAGCCCGGTTCAGAGCTTCAGGAGCCCTAGCAAGGTCAGTTCATGTTCTCAAACCTGCGCTGTTTCTCCTTAAAGGGACTCTGTGTAGATTTTTAGGTATTTTATTATCTGAAATCAATATTTTTATTCATAAATATGTCCTCAATGGTGTACAAATACCTCTGCAAATTATCTGACTTATCCTCGTAAATGAAGAATTTATTATCTTTATGTACATGGGACGGGTAGGTTCACGGAGGCTTCCATGTCGTTCCGCCATCTTGAAAAACTATAATAGCAGAGAGGGTCAAAAAGTACCACCAGCCAAACGCGTTTCCACAACGCGTTTTCGTTCAGACTCAGAGCCATCGTCACGTCACATTGAGAGGCGCATTCCCTGCAAGTTTAAACGGCTGCATTGCACTCCTATGATTGCTGATTGCTCTATTATTTGTAATGGCGAGATTATTAATACATATGCCGAGTCACAGGAGAATGCATCCTCCTCGCAAAAAAAGGCCAGACTTGAACGAAAAAGGAAACGTGACCGGAGATTTCGTCCGTCATAAAATTAATCGGATCGGGTTCGATTTTCTGCGTTTTTCGCATCCAGAGCCAGCATTTTGAGAGGTCTTTTGACAATTCAGGGCCGGGGGAGCTCGTCCTCAAATCATTGCACATATGCGCCGTGCTTTCAGTTTCGGTTTTCAATTCGATCAAGTGTTTATGTTCTCTTCTCTATATTGGATTATGAAATTAATAAACCTCCCCGAATTCAATCAGATTAAAATTTAAGATCGAATAAGGTGTGATTGAGCAGCCTATTCGATAACTAATGTATTTGGGCACAATATATACACAATAACAGCCTAGCTGTTCTGTCTGCTCAGCGCTTCCACCGGGCCGCGCACGGGTGTGTGTGTGTTTATGTGTGTGTGTCCATACCTGGTCCATACCAGACACACTGCCGTTCAGAATCGATTGGTTCACGGAAATTGGTGTTTTTGTTTTTAATATGTGGCTCCAGAATCGCTAGCAAAGCATCAAACTGTCCCACTGACATTCTGAGGTAAATTTTGAATCGCTCAGGATAAATTCGCAACTCCTTGATAAGGTGGAACTCTCCTTCCTCTCGGCGCAATTTCAGGATTGGATGGACGTAATTTCTCTTTCTTCTCTTTTCAATATGAGAGAGGGCAAAAATCATCCACTGCTTGACGAATCCATTTGGTATTTTTTCGTTTTTTCCCGCAAAGGTTTAATAAATAGCCTACGCAACAGACTCGGTGTGCAAGGTTTCTATGCGTGACGAATTTTTAGGCTGATGACAAACACGAAAATACGCATACGAAAATTTCGTACTCAGTGTGCAATGGCCTTAAATATCGGGATAGCGTTTTCAAGCTGGAAGCTAATGCAGCAGAAAGATTTCAG